AAATAGGGAGTTACTTTCCAGACACCCTGTAGATATAAACTTTAATTCGAATAAGATATATAATTTTGACAAGTCATTCTGAAGTGTTCCAGAATTTTTTGCGTAGGGTATAGTTGCATTTGACATCATACCTTACAATATAATTTATTAACATCATTGCTATTAGCAAAAGAAAAACAAACTAATCGCGTGCGTAACTCACCAAATAAAATTTTGATGATATTTTTTTCAGAATACATTGCTATCGTCTTAAGAAATATAAAAAGCGACGTAGAATCTTCATTTTTTTTTCGTAATTATGAAATATGCATCTATCCAAGGTTCAAAAATTAAAAAAAAACAAATGTCTAATGCCCCTTTCAGTAGTTTACTACCTACTATTGGCATGACATCAGTCACTTGAAACTGCCTACGAGAATAAACAAAGAGTAGTCCATGTTATTCTATCTGTCATCTTGATTGATCAAGGACAATATATTATTTATAATTATTTGCATTTTTGACTGTTACTACATGCTCTATACACATCTTTTTATATTCCTCGAAATAAAAGTTATTCATTTTTTTTTACCAAACATTGACACATAGCTATTTCATAACATATTTTAAATGAAAGAAAAACAAATTTATATTTTCAACGAGAAAACAACACAAAAATATGGTTATTTAATAATTCTCATCGATAATAATTTTTCTAGAAATGTTCAATTACATCACGTAAAAGAAGTTAAAACTTACATACAAAAAACGACTGTTGTTTAGCTTTCAGCTATAATTTGTCTAAATTAAATCTTCTTTTTTTTTTTAATAAAAGCAAATAAATTTTTATATTCAAGGTCTAGATTATTTATCTGTCGTATCATACGGTGAGTTCATTTATTGAAAAACGTCATTCAAATTTTAATAAGAAAACCAGTATAATACGATTGAATTTTCCTGTTGCATCTGAATTGATTAAAATTAATGCTGTTATATCTGCATTCAAACTGATAAATTTTTTGAAAATCAATAATATCAAATTATATTTATTCTTATGCCTGTTGACGAAATTATATCGAATAAATCCATCCGCATTGTATTACGGGTGGCGGGATGTTCGCCAATAAGACTTTCACCAATTGGCGAAAGTGAGGTGGACTACCTCAGTGGTCCCGAAACAATATTAATAAAGGATATATGTCAGCGCTGAAGTTAATGTTATTAGAATATATATGGGGTTGGCCAGTCTGGCCGGATGTCCCTATGCCTTTTCCGTCATTCAGTTTCTGTAATACATCAGAACAATCTAATTTTTATAATAGTAATAGTACTTGCATAATGCTAATGATCTGCCAAGGCTAGGAAGTTTATGTCTTGGTTCAAATCACAATCATTAAATGTCTTTAGAATTATCTGTTGGTAAATATCAAAAGGCTTTGAAAGATGCTTTATCGATTTCGTTTCAAACAAGAGATAAATTGTTTCTCTTTGGCGGATCATCAGCATTATATGAGTACTATAACTAGCAAAAAAGTCAGATATTTCTGACATATTATAGAGACGGATTGATTAAAAACGGGATTGGAACATCCGACCGGACTGGCCAACTCCATATATCATAGTTTACACTCATCGATATAGGTGAAAATAATTTTTTTAGTGTACGTCTAATTTACAATGAAATTGCTGAAAGCTCACTGTACTTTTGCCAATTGGCGAAATTTCACCGGGTGTGTTGACGAAATTCCAGAACCCCTGTATTACAAAGTGATTAAAATGTGTTTTTTTTCAATTTTTAGATCTCTTTAAGATGTAGGGTCGTTGAAAACGATTAGGAATAGCAACAAAAAATAATTTGATATCTAAGCCACTTTTAAGGATCAGTTCAAATCACTTTTAGCTATGTAAACTCGTTTCCACACATATATTACTTATAGTGATTAAGTGTATGTCTAAAGGAGTCTGTTTCGATATGTATGAAAAGAATTCAGAAATTAAATTATTTAATCAACATTAAAGAATTTTCTTTTTTGTCGTGGTGAATATCAACTCATGAAAGTTACATTGTATTCCTTAGTTTGTTTTCGTTTTCAATGTACTTTCTTTAGAAATTTATTCTGATAAGATCAAAGAATTCGATTCGCATGAATTAATAGTTCATCGATGACTTGGCTTATTTTTGACAGCAAAATTTTTCAATAAATCGCTTTGTATTAAAATAAATTTTCAATAGGAAAACAAAATAAAATTGTTCAATATGTTACATTTACATATTTATGCAATGTAAAAATCCTTTCTAAGAATACTAAACTCATACAAACATCATTAACTAATTCTCTTCTTAATCAACGACCACCTATATTGACTAGATCTATAACTTTTACTAATCAATTGCTATTATTGTTTGACGCTCCATTCAGAATGCTCAAATGAATATTATTTGTGAATTTCTTTATGACATTAATTTTGATAACTAATAAAACATATTTACTTTTTTGTTTCTATTCCAGATAGTAAGTCTTCATTGTACAATATTGTGTATATTTGATATTTGAAATCAAATTTCTTGATCAAACCATATGCAAACAAATAATTATCTATTTATCTGTTAATAAATTTAAAAAATATCTTTTTTTTTTTTCTTTATTATTGTTATATGATATTCCACAAAATATCAATGATCAAGATTTTCCTTGTCTTGCAATGTATTAGATCGATGAATAATTGAATAAATATTATCAAATTTATTTTTCTTTCGCATATAGGATGAGAAAACATTTTGTTGATCAAAGTTTATCTCTTTCTTATCATCGTGTATGTACATATCTTCCTAAAGTTGCAATATTATTTATATCATTTATTGACAGGCATCCTTGCCTTAATTGATCTATGAAAAAATCATACAAGAGCTTAAAAACACTTTTCGATGACTTCGAATAGTCACGATAAAGTATTTTACTCTTATCAAAACCAACATTGTCATCAGTAATCACTACTAGTCTTGACCATTTGCACCAAGAACCAGAATATCGCATCGCATCCGTTTCCATACTTGTAAAGAACTTTTCGAATTTTCGACAAGCCTATCAAACACATATCTTTTTTTTTAATTAAATGTAAATGTAATATTTTTATGCACGTTTGATGTGCTTTAACAATAAATAGAACTGAAATGTCTCGCAAGTCATGACGGCTAAAAAAAGACTAATAATCTATTCTCGAAAATTATATTTGAACGAACTGATGTGAACTGAGAAGTGGTTTAAAAATGATCTGAATAAAGGATTCAAAAGTGAAATTTACAGTTTTGATTTAGTCTATGTTTCAAGGATGGTCCTAACCAATATTACCAATATTCTATATAAAATCTGTAGAACTCTAAAAGTTGTTCTCATATGTACTTACATGCAGACATATCAGAGACTGTACATTATTCTTGCTTATGTTCATAGATTTTCATTTGACAAAGGCATGTGAATATGTTGTAGAAATATTTTCATTTCCGTACATGAGAACTGTTGGGTGTGTATACAAATGAAAATAGTCTCATTTGTTAAAAATAGAAAATTTGAACTTAGATACTTTATTTAATAAAATAGCTTTGTTCCTACTTGATCATCTAGATAGATTATGATTGCATTTTAAAATTGCTTCATAAATTATTGATGTATTTTTTAATAATTGAGTTTTACCTGAAGAGAGTGACGATAAAGTTCCACATGTGTATGACGTATTAAAAATGTATGAGAAAAAAATCATCAATTGAAATGATTGATAAAATTTCCAAAAAGATTTAGCGAATGACTGAAAAGTGATGAGTAACAAATACGTAATAGTTACAGAAGATTTTTTTTCGTAATCAGTTTAATATATGTATTCATAAAATAGTGAGTTTGATTTTTCTTTTTTTTTGATAAAATATCTTGTTGATCGATCGTGAAAAATATATCAACATATTCTCATGCTTATATTTTTATTATTAAAAGAAAAGATATTATCCTACAATGTATCAGTTGAAAGTTTGACACGAGTACTCAAAGCTTATATAAAAATATTCGATTAAGAATTATTTCCTATCTGAATCTAACTTAATTTTATAACGCATGAAGACTTATGAAATATCCTGTCAGTGTTCATTTTGTCAGAAACAATTATATTTACAGTAGCACTCAAAATGGATCATTCGCCATACAAGAAGACATTAGAACATGTCATGATTTTTAAAAAAATCTCGTACTTTGTTCTTTTGACGAAGAATTTCCTTTTCTTTTTTTTTTTTTTACAATATTTTGACTAAAAAGCAAATGAAACGTTGTTAAAACATTTTCCAATTGTGTTTTGCCGTTGATAAAGATGAGATGAAAAGTGCAATATTTAACAATATCACAGCATATCATTTTCAGTATTTCTAGTCTGACAGAGTAGACATATGACATAGGAAGTTGATACTTTAAACGGATTAAAGTGATAAGTTAGGTGTATGATTAGAGTTGAGCGTCAATATATTTGTAATGTAAAAGATTAAGAATCTACACCATATCTTCGAAAATTATGAAGAAACTGTAAAAAAAAAAAGTTCGAATAACGGAAAATGTAGCATTTGAAAAGATAAACTTTCTTTTGTTTTACAGAAATTTTCAAATTTCAATAACATTATCTTTTTAAACTTCATAAATTGTTTTATGGTTTAGAAAATTTAATTTTTTTCTTATTTGATAACAACATCAGATAAAAAACTGAAGAATACATTCGTATTTAGCCGCTTTTACTACCATGTCGAGCTTTTTACAGTTTGTTTTAATCAAACAGAAAAATAATCTATTTGAATTTTTTGCATCATGCACACTTCAGTTTACATAAAGGAAACGATGCATATTCTGATTATTTTTTCATTGACGATGTTCTGAATTATTTTTAGTCGAGAAATTCAACTCGAAATAAAACAATTATATAGAATAAAACAAACATCACGTATGATGTTTTTTTTATCTATGTTAAATTTACATCAAAGAGTTTCACCGAAGATTTTTGACATGGAAAACTTTAAGTACTTTGTTCAATATACAATTTTACATTTTTCAGAATCAATATTTAAGCATTTTGAGAGTCAAACTATCACCAACAACAAAATGTAGAAGTTAATTTTTTCAAAAGTATACTGTTAAAACGTTTTCTCAATGTAGTCAATGTTATTAGATAAATATAACATCCACAACTCGGTTCCAAATAAACAGTCATACGTATAATTGATTCAATCCAGTTGGCTTTATTTGAAATGTTTGTCTCATATGTGTATTTATTGATAGTAAGAAGTCGGTAGAAGCTGTAAGCAGCATAGGGAACTGATGTTAATACAGTCACAATTATTTCAGCAATAATCATTAATGTCAATTGTTTTTCAACTTGATATTGACTTGATCGTCGATTATCAACACAATGATGACACATTTGAACAAATTGACGATTTTGATCATAACGACGATTATGTAAACAACGAATAGTTGGTAATGTTCGAATATTTTTCAGTGTTAATATACCGAACAAAGTCATCAATATCGGTAAAAGAAGACAATGAATACTAGTAACCCATATTGTCCAAAGAGTAAGATTTCGAGCAACACAACCTTGTGAACGAGAAACAATTGTGTAATTGAATACATGTTGAAGAGAAATAATGGCCCAAACAATGCATGAGATCAAACTGAGTTTGAATGCATTTGACATATGACAGAAATAATCAGCAATGTGATAATAACAAGTTTGTTGTTGATATTTTCTCCGGCGCCAACTTGAACCTAACCGATTGATCGAAGCAAGTAAGAGCATTTGAAATGTCAAACTAGCACTTAGCATATGAAAATAAATGCGTAATTTACATACGATTATCTCAAAATCCGTTGCAGTATCGGATGATAAATTCGATCGAATTTTTTCAATTTTTGACCATCCAACACCAGCATTGACCCAATAGGACGATGTAAAAACATTGACAAGAAGTCGATGAAGTGGTATATTATTGAGAGTAATAAAATTGCTAAATGTTGCAACAAGAATAAAGACACTGCACGCACAAGAACGAAGAGGTTTTTGAAGAAAAAATCCCACTTTGAGTAAATTACCAATATTGCCAAAAGTAACAAAAAAGAGATTTCCATAAATATTGAGATAGCGAGTACTCAAATCGAGTTCACTATCATTATGAATTGAATTATTCATTATTTGCTGGCGTACATTTGCAAAGAAAAATAGACGTACTAAGTATATTACAAAGATTTTGGATTGTGGTTAATAGAAAGTAGAGCAAAACTTCTAATAATTGTTTGTGTACAATAAATATTGGTAGATAGTAGATGTTCGACGGTTTTTCTTCTATTGAATTGGTGCCGGAAAATGATGAATGTTGTGCTCTCTCTAGTTATTTACTCAACATGTGTTGTAGTCATCATAGAAAAGAGAACATGCAACATTATGGTTATTTTAAGACTTTTTAAGAGAAAAAATTTTACGCGTCATTAATGCAGATGAATGACATTTTTTAGAATCGGTACTCTTTTTTTTTATGACAATTAAATCTGTCTCTCTTGTTTTATAGAATGCGATTCTTTTTTAAATTGATCTACAATGCCAAACATGGTCCAGACATGGAAGCTGAATTCTGATGAGATGTATGTGTCTCTTTATTCTGTTTTTTCTATTATATAGGAACGGAAGGAGATGAAGAGATTCAAAGAAAACGTGATAGACAGGCGAATAGAAATGACTAGGAAAGCGAAGAAAAACAAACAAGAATAATGGCAAGTGGTGTATTGATTCTTGTTCCAAATATGACAACGCCAATGTATGCCAACTCAATTTCCGCTAAGTTCATTCTCGTCAGTCAAAAAACTATTCATGTTTGACTAGATTGTATGCAAACATAGGAGAAAACAATTTACTGAAAAATTTTATATATGCGATTATACGAACAAACATTGATGGGTTCAATAGATGCGTACAACAAATTCAGAAAGAACGAGCTGTCAGATATTATCATGTTCGCTTCGAGTATTTCTTGATCGATCTTCATTATTGATTATAACGAACAATTGACCTAAGACAGTGATTTTTTCTTCAATATTCATTCGAAAATTCAAAAATAATTGTTTTCGTTGAAACAATCAAGAAACTATCCGAAAATGATGCTACATTTTTTTGGTTTTATCGATTCGTTGAAAAATTCTACGAAATTTTGATTATACAAAAAGAATACGCAGTTCAATGCAAATGTGTATCTTCGTTCAATACTTGGTATTCGAGAGAAATCATGTTCGAACAATGAAAAACAAACTTCTCGTCATCGATTTATTCGAATTTGATAGAATTCTAAAATCTCAGTGAGCCAATGACTGGTTTTTTTTTATGTCGTTTTACTTTATACTTCATTAGGGTAAGACAACCTTTGAAATTGATCAAATCTTTGCCACAGTTTCATGTGTCAACAAGTAAATATACCATTCTAAACAGTGGAAGACTTTTTTAATATTAATCAATTGTTGATCTTCAATAAGAATATTGTTTGAAGAGTTAGTTATTCAAATTAATATCTGAATACAATTTCTTTGTTGACATTTTATTTACATTCTGTATACGTTATAAAAAGTAGTTCGACAAGAAACTATGGTTCAAATTATTGAAGAACTTTGAATGTATGAATGTGAGTCTGATGACAATTTGAGTTACCGACTGATGGAAATATTTAATTAATAAAATCTATCCAAGATTTTGAAAGCAAAAAGTTGGTTTTGCTGGGAAAAGAACTCCCGCGATCAGTGCGAAAATTTTTACATCGTATTCAAATTGCATCCATCTATTTCAAATTCTATCTGTTGTGACGAATCGAAAGATCAATATTGGCTGATACATTGAATAATGATAAGTTCTAAGAGACACTTCATTTATCTCGTCTTGTGATAAGACGAAACCATCTGATAGAGGCATGGCTTATCTCATCTAATCTTGATTATTGCATATACATGAAGAAAAATGACTGACAAGTAACTCACGCGGGCAGCATTTTCTTGTCTAATTATTGAAGTGATGAAAAGAGCTTAAATATTTATTTGTGTCATAAATGTACTTTGTTCTAGACAACATTCAACATATATCTATTACTAACGAATTTCTGTTGTAATTCGCCAGTATTAGAGGCTTTTTCGAAAAGTCTAAGGTTTAATTATGATCTTTGTTAGAAATGTCATTCTCTTCCTGCAGCTTTTAGTCGTACTAGCTAAATTTTCTGTACAAAATACTAATAAATGAAGAATGTCAGAATTCATCGTTAAAATTATATCTGATAGTATTTCAAATCATTGACTATTTGTTATCATTATCCTAATTTGTTGCCAATGTTCCTCACAATTAATTTAACTTGTGTACTACTAATTTAACAACAAACCACTTTAACGATACCGAGATGAATATTCGAGAGGAGAACGATTAACGTCAGAGATTGAAACTGTGAATCTCATATTTGGAACAATGATCTTATACTATTTTTCGTGAGCAAAATCCTTGAATGTTTGTATGCCAAGCATTCGATTTTTTACAATATTCTAACTAGAGATGGGCACCGGGACCAAAAAAAATTTCTGGTCCCGGTAAAATATTTACTTGTCGTTCTATTACCTTTACTATTAAAATATCAGTTGACCGTGCATTTTGTAGAGAAATATTTGCTCTTTCAGCCTGTATATTGTAAAATATACCACAGATCTTCATTATCAATTAATTTAGTAAATACATTGACCGGGACCAGATTGGTCCCGGTCAGTCCCGGTCATCTTGGTCCCGGTTATGTGTTTGCTAAATTTATTGATAATGAAGATCTGTGGTATATTTTGAGATACACAGGCTAAAAGAGCAAATATTTCTCTACAAAATGCACGGTCAACTGATATTTTAATAGTAAAGGTAATGGAACGGCAAGTAAATATTTTACCGGGACCAGAAATTTTTTTTGGTCCCGGTGCCCATCTCTAATTCTAACTATAGCAGCTTTATATATCGGTCAACTTTAGAAATTCGTTGTACTAAAATAACTAACGAAAAAACTGTGCAATATGGATTGATGGTGTAAATGAACATGTTTCAGGATGTGAGTATTTTACTGAATTCATCCACATCCGATTTTAAATTAAAAACTTAAAATTGACAATATACCAGTTTTTCATCCTTCATATTATTCATGTTTGGAATCTTCATATATTTGCACCTAAACGAAACCCGCTGGGTACAAAATCTTTGGACTTGGATCGGACTCATACTCATATTATTCTCAATGATATTTTTTTTTGCTTAGTTGGATTGAGCAACTAGCACGTCCTACACATTTCTCAGAACATCTTGACAGTGATCTTATAAGAATAGGATTATAATTCACTGTCATCTTTAGTGTAGCAACTGACAAATCAGATTTGGATCAACAGACAGAGAATTATCAGACTTAAATCCAGATCTTCTGTCATACACCTCAATCCTTATTGATTTTCTTGAGATTTCTTATTTCAATAGAGATTAGAAAATTCTTCATAATGAATATTCTTGATTTTTAAGAACGATTGTTACATTATATTTATATTGATTAATTTCATAAAAGAATTTTTCTTTTTTAATTAAAAATAATTAAAATATATTACAATCGTCTAAATAATTGTTCGATTAATCTGATTTTCTTCAATAAAACAATTATTTTTATTAGCTAAATTACAATAAATATCATGATCATTAAAAATTGATATAATCTGTTAAAATAATTTCAACTTTAACAATAATAAAAAAAAAATAATAATAATAATAATTGTCTGATGAGTCCATCAAATAATGTTCTTTACTTAGGGCATACCAAAAGTCTTTACGAAGCTATATCAATCTTTTATAGAATGCTTGAAGAAATTTTCTTTTTTTTATGTAGTGATAGAAAAAATGATGCTCTATTTTTCTATGCTATTTGATCTATCTTCAACTAATATCATAATAATACAATTTCGATAAGAACTGTTTTTCTGTAAAACTTAACTAACGGATGAGGCAGATGAATACGCTTTACATTTCAATTTTCAAATCACTCAGTACGTTGTATTAAAAAATAAAATATACTATAATATGCAGCGTGAAAAGCTCTACAACTTATAAAGAACAGTTTATTTTATACATGAAATTAAAAAAAAACGGAATTTCTCTTCGCATAAATTTTTCGGGCCGGTAAAAATTGATCACACAGAATTTTAGTTTCTTTGACGAGAAATACACAATTAAAATAAGCTTTACTTTATAGATTGTAGAACTTTTCATGCTGCATCTTGTGATGTATTTTGTTTTTTAATACAATGTATTAAGTGATTGAAACATTTACTCTGCCGCATCCGTTAGTTAAGTTTTACACAAAAACAGTTCTTATCGAAATTTTATTATGATGATATTAGTTGAAGATTGATAAAATAGCATAGAAAAATAGAGCATCGTTTTCTCTATCACTACATAAAAAAAAAGAAAATTTCTTCAAGCATTCTATAAGAAATTGATATAGCTCCGTAAAGACTTTTGGTATGTCCTAAGTATATCTACTTACAATAGGATCTTCACTTGTTGGATTTAGTTGAAATATGATCATATATTGGTTTACTTGTATTAATTAAATAATTACTAATCTTTATGAAGTTTTAGTTTTTGATTATTATTATTATTATCATCAATTGCTAAAATATTATATTGTAATTCTGATCGATGAACTTTTCTATCAAGATCAATAATATCAATTAAACGTATACGACTAGTTTAAAACAGAAGAAGATTATTTTTAGTAAAATTAAAAATTACTACGTTCAAATAAAAAAATAATTGCATTATTATTTTCATCACTATCGTTGCCAAAATAAATTGAACACGAATATTTTTTGAATAATTTGAGAATGAAAGCAGTTAGCAACTTACAATTTTCACTATTTCAAAGAGTGATGTAGTAAAAGTAAAGATATCTTCAAAAAACTTGAGTAGTTCTTAACTGATGACACATTAGCAAAAATGTTCATTTTTAGTTTCAAAGTCATCTGAAATCATTAGAACAAGATTTTCGATTTTCAGCTGTTTACGAAGAATATATTAGAAAAATTTCAAATATCACATATGTCACTCTAATGATTTCAAATGACTTTGAATCCCAAAGTAAATATCATTATTGA